TCAAGAGATGAAGATAACAGCTTTGTTATCCATGTGCACCAAACTGAAAGCTAGCACATGAGTCCTTGCCTTGGCAGACTCTATATCACTTTCGTCAGACTCTATATCACCTTCGCCAGACTCTATATCACCTTCGCCAGACTCTGGATCACCTTCGCCAGACTCTATATCACCTTCGTCAGACTCTATATCACCTTCGCTAGACTCTATATCACCTTCGCCAGACTCTATATCACCTTCGCCAGACTCTATATCACCTTCGTCAGACTCTATATCACCTTCGCCAGACTCTATATCACCTTTGCCAGACTCTATATCACCTTCGCCAGACTCTATATCACCTTCGCCAGACTCTATATCACCTTCGTCAGACTCTATATCACCTTCGCCAGACTCTATATCACCTTCGTCAGACTCTATATCACCGTCAGACTCTATATCACCTTCGCCAGACTCTATATCACCTTCGTCAGACTCTATATCACCTTCGTCAGACTCTATATCACCTTCGCCAGACTCTATATCACCTTCGCCAGACTCTATATCACCTTCGTCAGACTCTATATCACCTTCGTCAGACTCTATATCACCTTCGCCAGACTCTATATCACCTTCGCCAGACTCTATATCACCTTCGCAAGACTCTGGATCACGTTCATTCCCGCTACTTTCTTTCCGTGCCCTCAAGTAGCTCCGGTGCTCCTTGGCGTGGGCAGATCAGCTTCTGGAAGAGACTGTTCCAGTCATGACCGGAACCGTATCTGTTCCAGAACCTCCCCCCTTGTTTTAAACTGGAAAGATAACCCCCCATCCCTGGAACCTCTCGTTATCATTCAGTTGCCTAAAGCTGGAATGACAATCTCAACTGGAACACCCTCGTTGCCTGAAGCTGGAATGACAGTCTCAACTGGAACACCCTCGTTGCCTGAAGCTGGAATGACAGTCTCAACTGGAACACCCTCGTTGCCTGAAGCTGGAATGACAATCTCAACTGGAACACCCTCGTTGCCTGAAGCTGGAATGACAGTCTCAACTGGAACACCCTCGTTGCCTGAAGCTGGAATGACAGTCTCAACTGGAACACCCTCGTTGCCTGAAGCTGGAATGACAATCTCAACTGGAACACCCTCGTTGCCTGAAGCTGGAATGACAATCTCAACTGGAACACCCTCGTTGCCTGAAGCTGGAATGACAGTCTCAACTGGAACACCCTCGTTGCCTGAAGCTGGAATGACAATCTCAACTGGAACCCCCTCGTTGCCTGAAGCTGGAATGACAATCTCAACTGGAACACCCTCGTTGCCTGAAGCTGGAATGACAATCTCAACTGGAACACCCTCGTTGCCTGAAGCTGGAATGACAGTCTCAACTGGAACACCCTCGTTGCCTGAAGCTGGAATGACAATCTCAACTGGAACACCCTCGTTGCCTGAAGCTGGAATGACAATCTCAACTGGAACACCCTCGTTGCCTGAAGCTGGAATGACAATCACTTCTGGAACACCCCTGTTGCCTGAAGCTGGAACGACAGCCCTTCCCTGGAAACCCCATACCAACCACCTTTCTCAACTCTGTTGATATCTTTCTGTCTGCAAGACTTTTCTAACGTGTATAATTAGACAGATATGACTAACCTGTCATAATTAGACAGATATATTTCGACTTTTGAGGTAGTCTGTGGCTTGTCTCTCTTGGCCAAAGAGACTCCCCCAAAGAGACTCCCTTAAAAAGACTTCCCCAAAGACGGCATTCTTTGGGGGAACGATTGTTAATTGCTTTTTTTTAATTCTTATTGCTTGAGAGCTGTTTATGGACATTTCCTGACAGGTGTAAGGTAGGTAACTTCTCCCTCTTCCTACCTCCTCCTACCTTCTCCTACCTTCTCCTCCTCTGTCACACCCAGTTTACCTTAGCTTCCTCCATAAAAAAAATTAGACATGATAATCATTCTTCGTGCTCGTCTTTTAAACCTTTTTATTGTTCTTAATTTAAGAAGAATAAGAATCTTCTTCTTCTTCTCTCCTCCTCCTCCTCTTCCTCCTATTCTTGCTATTCATAATTATTCTATTTCACCTCTTCACAATAGACAGCAAATGGATAATAGATGGAGAGTACGGTGGAGGAAACAAGAGATTCAATCTGATAGATAGACCTTAATAAATACATCTTATGATACATACTCATTCAGACACTACGATAGACAGACAGACATTCAGCTAGAGAGCGATTATACATACCTAATTAGACAGACACTGATATATACATTCAGATAAATATGCACATACATCACAGTATGTATAACTGACAGACATTCTGATATTCAGAAAGATATTTCAAGGGTTAGGTTATTAGACAGACAGACAGATATTCTGAATAGTGACTTACGGGAAGAAATATCTTTTTAAAGACAGATATTTCGACAGGTAAGACTCGAGGATAAACAGGTATTCAGACGGAACTACAGATAATTTGACAGATAACGAGGCAGATATTTAGACAGTCAATAGCCAGACAGATAAGATACACAAATACATACAAAATATATATAGAGAGACAGTAACAGTCAGTGGGACAGAAATATATATATATTTCTATACTTCTATAAATAATTAGACAGTCACTAACGAGACATAATGACAGTCAATAACGAGACATAATTAGACAACCAATAACGACACAGATAATTTAACAGTCAACAATGAGACAGATAAGACAGTTACGAGGCTGATAGACGGTTAAATACGAGACAGATAGACAGTCATTACTCCCAAACGTAGCTTTGGAGGGTCTTGAGTTGATCTCAGTTGAATGGTGTTGATCTCAGTTGAATGGTGTTGATCTCAGTTGAATGGTGTTGATCTCAGTTGAATGGTGTTGATTTCAGTTGAATGGGGCTCCACCTACCACCACAACCACTTACCACCACAACCACTACCACCTCTCACAAAACAACGAGACGAGGTCACTCACAAGCAAGGTCACCTTGTGCTTGTGGCTCACAATAGGTCATATTACTGACGTCTACTAAGCACCAGTGACCTTTCAGGAGTTGACCTGAGACAGCACAAGCGACCTTATGAGAAGGAAGGAAAAAAAAGCAAGGCACTCAGCCCTAATTAGTGCCACGTGTGTCTGGATAATATATGTTTCTTGTAAGATCGGAGTTCGATTCCCCGATGATCCGTTCTCATATTTTCCAGGTTTTAATGTGCCTTACAAGAGTTATATTATTATATTTTAGTTATCTGGCCTGATTTGTTGATCTAAGGGTCAACAAATCACACTATATTTAACAGTAGGCAGGAAAAGCCACGATTTGCAAATAGAGAATATTTTTGTTTTAATTATTCATAAATAATAATGGTGTCCAAATAACTAATTTTGATCAATTTGTTTATTATTATACGGTAAATTTTTAATAAGGTTCTTAAAACTTTTTTTTTTGGTAGTAAAGTTATCAAACTTTTTCGACTTTGTTAGTAAAATTTTGGAACTTTTTTTGTTTACTAACTGTTAGTAAAGGTTTGGGAACGAACTTGACCTTATTAGTAAAACATACGAACGTTTTTTGTTTCGTTAGTAACGCTGGCAGACGTTGTTGACTTTCCCTAAGGAGTAAATTTAGTCCTACACAAAGGGGATCCAGTCTCACATAAAGAGGATCGAATACCACATAAAGGGGGATCCAATACCATATAAAAGGGATCCAATACCACATAAAGGGGATCCAGTCCCACACAAAGGAGGATCCAGTCTCACATAAAGAGAATCCAATACAGCAGATCGAATACCACATAAAAGGAAGCCAGTCCCACATAAATCTAATCCAATACCACATAAAGAGGGATCCAGTACCACATAAAAGGGGGATCCAGGACCACATAAAACAAATCGAATACCACATATAGGTGACCTAATACCACATAAAAGGGCTCCAATACCATATAATATGAATCCAATGGCACACAAAGAAGTTCCAATACCACTCACAGGGGGATTCAACACCACATAAATCAGTAAATAAGGGAATCAACTACCACATACAGGGAACATAATACCCCCTTAACAAAAAATGAATCCAGTATCACATATATAGAGTATTTAATACCCTGTAAAAGACAATCTTGCGTAACATAACAAGAGGAGGATTCAATACCATGAGAAGCTGACCCCCCCCCACGGAAAGAGGGGGGGGGGGGTCAGCTGACCACGGAAAGAGGATCCAATGCCACACTTACGATCATAATTACTATAGTCTTGCGACCTCTCTTGTCTCATTTGAAACACTTAAGTTCTCCTTGAATTTCTGCAAACATCTCTTAATTAGAGTGTGGAAATATTTCCTGATACTATATTATATGTATATATATATATATATATATATATATATATATATATATATATATATATATATATATATATATATATGAATGAAAACTCACACCCCAGAAGTGACTCGAACCCATACTCCCAGAAGCAACGCAACTGGTAACTACAGGGCGCCTTAATCCGCTTGACCATCACGGCCGTCAAAAGGAAGTGATAGCCGAGGCTATTTGAGCCACTTCCCCGACGGCAACTCGGATGGTAATCTTGGGCATAGCATTTCACCAAATCACCTCATTCTTTGGGGCACACGTGAGGAACACAAATGCGAACAAGCCTGAATGGTCCCCAGGACTATATGCGAATGAAAACTCACACCCCAGAAGTGACTCGAACCCATACTCCCAGAAGCAACGCAACTGGTAACTACAGGGCGCCTTAATCCGCTTGACCATCACGGCCGTCAAAAGGAAGTGATAGCCGAGGCTATTTGAGCCACTTCCCCGACGGCAACTCGGATGGTAATCTTGGGCATAGCATTTCACCAAATCACCTCATTCTTTGGGGCACACGTGAGGAACACAAATGCGAACAAGCCTGAATGGTCCCCAGGACTATATGCGAATGAAAACTCACACCCCAGAAGTGACTCGAACCCATACTCCCAGAAGCAACGCAACTGGTAACTACAGGGCGCCTTAATCCGCTTGACCATCACGGCCGTCAAAAGGAAGTGATAGCCGAGGCTATTTGAGCCACTTCCCGACGGCAACTCGGATGGTAATCTTGGGCATAGCATTTCACCAAATCACCTCATTCTTTGGGGCACACGTGAGGAACACAAATGCGAACAAGCCTGAATGGTCCCCAGGACTATATGCGAATGAAAACTCACACCCCAGAAGTGACTCGAACCCATACTCCCAGAAGCAACGCAACTGGTAACTACAGGCGCCTTAATCCGCTTGACCATCACGGCCGTCAAAAGGAAGTGATAGCCGAGGCTATTTGAGCCACTTCCCCGACGGCAACTCGGATGGTAATCTTGGGCATAGCATTTCACCAAATCACCTCATTCTTTGGGGCACACGTGAGGAACACAAATGCGAACAAGCCTGAATGGTCCCCAGGACTATATGCGAATGAAAACTCACACCCCAGAAGTGACTCGAACCCATACTCCCAGAAGCAACGCAACTGGTAACTACAGGGCGCCTTAATCCGCTTGACCATCACGGCCGTCAAAAGGAAGTGATAGCCGAGGCTATTTGAGCCACTTCCCCGACGGCAACTCGGATGGTAATCTTGGGCATAGCATTTCACCAAATCACCTCATTCTTTGGGGCACACGTGAGGAACACAAATGCGAACAAGCCTGAATGGTCCCCAGGACTATATGCGAATGAAAACTCACACCCCAGAAGTGACTCGAACCCATACTCCCAGAAGCACCGCAACTGGTAACTACAGGGCGCCTTAATCCGCTTGACCATCACTTGGCTATCACTTCCTTTTGACGGCCGTGATGGTCAAGCGGATTAAGGCGCCCTGTAGTTACCAGTTGCGTTGCTTCTGGGAGTATGGGTTCGAGTCACTTCTGGGGTGTGAGTTTTCATTCGCATATAGTCCTGGGGACCATTCAGGCTTGTTCGCATTTGTGTTCCTCACGTGTGCCCCAAAGAATGAGGTGATTTGGTGAAATGCTATGCCCAAGATTACCATCCGAGTTGCCGTCGGGGAAGTGGCTCAAATAGCCTCGGCTATCACTTCCTTTTGACGGCCGTGATGGTCAAGCGGATTAAGGCGCCCTGTAGTTACCAGTTGCGTTGCTTCTGGGAGTATGGGTTCGAGTCACTTCTGGGGTGTGAGTTTTCATTCGCATATAGTCCTGGGGACCATTCAGGCTTGTTCGCATTTGTGTTCCTCACGTGTGCCCCAAAGAATGAGGTGATTTGGTGAAATGCTATGCCCAAGATTACCATCCGAGTTGCCGTCGGGGAAGTGGCTCAAATAGCCTCGGCTATCACTTCCTTTTGACGGCCGTGATGGTCAAGCGGATTAAGGCGCCCTGTAGTTACCAGTTGCGTTGCTTCTGGGAGTATGGGTTCGAGTCACTTCTGGGGTGTGAGTTTTCATTCGCATATAGTCCTGGGGACCATTCAGGCTTGTTCGCATTTGTGTTCCTCACGTGTGCCCCAAAGAATGAGGTGATTTGGTGAAATGCTATGCCCAAGATTACCATCCGAGTTGCCGTCGGGGAAGTGGCTCAAATAGCCTCGGCTATCACTTCCTTTTGACGGCCGTGATGGTCAAGC